GCAACACAGCTGCCTGAGCACTAGATGTCTGCTTTTCTCTGCCAAATAAGCAGTATTGCTAAAAAGTAGTGACTGGTAATTTAGCAGATTTTGCTGATGAATCAAACCAAAATTAACTGGGTATGGTGGCATACTATTCAACTGAAATGGTTTGTGATGTCATTTCTTGGTTGTGCAGTGTCATCATTGCAAGAAATAAAGCTTGTACTTGGTTTGTTTTAAATCTATTTTTGTTGCCTCGTTAGATGAGACAAATTTTGTAAAGACCATTTCCTCTCTTGTGAGACTATTGCATCTTTCATTCCGAATGGAGAGGGCTTTATGTGAAGGATCCTTCCATCCTTTCTGTGGTTCTTATTTTAAGCCTTTCTCAGTTTATTTTGATTATACTCTTTTTTTCTCTTTGGGAATAATCTTACCTCCTCTGATTGTCCTGTTACTCTAAGGTTTGTGCACAATCGCATGGAAAGAGTGGGTTACTTTTCAGTAGCAACAACCTAGAATCAAGATGAAATGTAAGGAGAGTAGAGCTGGGAGTAGTGGCCTTTTAGATGTCACTTCCCCCACCATGGTGGGGTTGATGAAAACATTTTTGGTTGTCACAATGGGAGTGGATGCCACTGGCTTCTAGTAGGTAGAGGCCAGGGGTGCTGCTCAACATCCTATAATGTATGGGACTGTGTGCACACAGCAAAGAATGATCCTGCCTAAAAGTCAGCCATGCTGTGGTTGAGAAACCTTGCTGAGAAGAGATTCATCAGGAATATGCCTTCCAAGTGGGTGGCAAGGCTGCTGGCTTCAGAAATGTCTCCAGCCTAGCCTATAGATGACACTAAGAAACCCAACCCATCACTGTCACACTATCTTTCATTGAGGTACTACCAAGCTCTTTATTTTCCTGCCCTTTAAGTATCCTCCTGCCCTTTAACTACTTCTGCACCTGCTGCTGGGGCAGTCCTGGGTGCTTTGTTTGTCACTGATATTCTCATCTTTCTTCCTGTGTCTGTCTTGTTGGGCAGAAGAGATGTGTTAATTGTTGCGGGAAAGCTGAGGAGGCACAAGGCACAAAAGTCTCACCACTCTGGCAGATGGTAAATTAATGTGTTCATTAATTCTGGACTCCAAGTTGGAGGGGGTGAGACGTTGGCAGGAGTGCAGGCAGGGCTGGCCCTGGAAGAGAAGCATCTTCCGTGGAGGTGCTGTGCTTCCAAGTGCCTTCCACAGCACCCTGGCAGTTGGCCCCAGCAACCATAGCCTAAGATGCTGATGAATCAAGTCTAAGAGGAAGTGGTCAGCCTTCCTCTATTACCTCATCCTGGGGCATTGTCTTAGTTTGTATGGACTGTAACCAACACCTTAGACTGGGTAGTTTATATACAACAGAAATGTATTGCCCACAGTTCTGGAGGCATCATGATCAAGGTGCTAAGTATTTGCTTTCTGGTGAGGTCCTTTTCCTCATGGATGGCTCCTTCTGTGTCTTCACATGGTGGAAGGGGCAGGGGAGCTTGCCCAAACCTCTTTGACATCCTCATTGTACCAACAAGGAACCTGGGAAAGTGACATTTCTATTTGCTGTGGTCTTCTCTCTAGATTGACTGTGTCTGGGGAGTGGCTGTTGTCCCTTGTGTGTGCCTCATTAGCACCTTGAGGTACTTTTTATCCCCACACTGCAGAGGAGAAAATGCAGACGCAGCCAAATGAGGCAATGTGGACCAGGCACCCAGCCGTAGAGCAAGGACAGAACTCAGCCATCCTGCCTGCTCCTGACATTTTCTCCATCCAGCTTGCCTGCTTGCCTTCATGAGATCACAAGGCCAGAAATTAGTAAGAAAGTCTTACAAGCAAATGGACTGAAAAAATCACTGATTTAGAACCCATATAGAGATGCATTCCAAGAAATGCAACTAGTAAAGATTTCAGCAGATAAGAGGACTTCTGATAACGGTACGTTCCCTAGGTCTTTATGATCATAAAGTGCCTAATTTCCAGTCATGACAACCTGCCCTATCCAAAAGAGGACCCAAACTGATGAAAGATGTTCAAAGTAATAGTACCCCTGTATAACTTTATGCTGCACAGATGTCATTGTGTATCTGCACAAGAAATTCCTTCCAGCAGACAACTTTCAGTTCTCTTTGCATCAGTCTCAGCCTCCCCACCCTTGGTCTGTCTTTGCTGTTTCATCTGCTTGTTTCAGTAAGCTTTAGTTGAATGTGAATACCGTTGTCCACACAGTCTGGAAATGAAATTTGCATTGGAGAACATAGTCGTTTAGAGAGATAAAGTTATGCAGCAAACTGTGCACTCAACATTAAAAACCCAGGTGAGACAGAAATCAGGGGCACCCTCCCGGCTTGGGTTAGAGTGAGCATTGCACACCATACTTTACTAGTTGCCTGAGTTGCATCCAGACTGACTGCTGTTCAGAGCTGCTGGTAGTCTAGCTGGACAGCCAGATGGCAATGGAGTCTGTCCATGCAGGGAATTCAAGAATTTTGGTTCCTGTTCCTATGGGTCTTGGAAGTGTGAGGTAAAAAGTGGAATCTCAGAGTCACATAGCCTATGGTTCACATTTTGTTTCATCCTCTTATCATGTGAACCTTGACCTGATGTCTCCAGTGTTTGTCTTTCTATGTGAAACAAAAACAGTACCAACTCCGAACAGTTACTGCAAAGACTGAGGTAGTTTACAGAGTGCCCAGGTTTGGATGAAGCTGGTAATGTGGTCAGACTTGGCTCTGTTTCACAGGGCATGTGATTGCAGGTGTCAGTTCTGTGGCCCAGTGCTGGTTGCAGGAATGAATAAGTGAGACTGGATGAATAAAATATGCCAGAAGCATGAGAGTTTCCTTCCACAGTTGATCTGTCAGCAATGAGGTTTATTTTTCAGGAGGCATCATCAGCACCTAATGCTGTATCCTGCTGCATTCAGTAGACGTTTCTTGATGCTGTTTCATGGTGGCTGAGAGTGTTTACTGGCTACCCAGCCTTGAATCTCAGGCCCAGCCCTACAAATTGAGCAGTAGGAGACTGCTATTATTCTCAAAAGATCTTGAAGTGTAAGGTAAAAAGTGGAATCTCGGAGTCACATAGCCTATGGTTCACATTTTGTTTCATCCTCTTATCACATGAACCTTGACCTGATGTCTCCAGTGTTTGTCTTTCTATGTGAAAGAGACCTGATTTATCAAGGGGTAAGGGGCAGCATCAGAATGATGCTGAGAGGCTTAAAGCCATTCAGTAGGAGCCACGTGAGTGGCCCCCATCAGCCATGAGAGTCATGATGTCTATGAGAGAGGAATCACTGCAGCCCAGAGTAGATAAGGAAGATTTCATGCAGTGGAGCCTTGGGCCAATAATGCAGTGAGGTCCTGCTTTACCCATTGACTGGAGTTTTTGTATTCTGCACTTTACCGAACACCTCAATGATAAAAGCTTGCAGGTGAAACTTGGTATATATAGCATAGCAGAGAATAGAGTCATTGATGAATACAAGGGTGGGTTGCTTCATTTGGTAGGAATGGGTAGAGGAAAAGGAAAGTGAATATATAGAGAGAAACAAGTAAGAAGGTAAAGATTAGGTTCTTGTAAAGAAACTTGGCTTATATCCTCCAAAAACACAGTGAGGAATTTCAGGATCCAGTGCACCCCCAGGCTGCCTCTGCACCAGGCAAAGTGACCCAGCCCTGCCAGGCAAGGTTGCCTCTATTAGGAAACTCCCTGCAGCATCCGAGACTTGCTGGCAGTAGGATGCCACCTCCCTCTCCTTGATGAAGGGCTGTCACAGCTTCCCTATCACCTCCAGACTTCCACAGATGCTCGGTGACCTTGCCTTCTTTCCTTGAAGCAAACATCATCCGCAAGAGCAAGGCATGGCTTTCTGTGTATTCAGTACTGATCCTCTGCCCCCCTTTATTTATTATTTAAATAAAGGCTCTTTAAATAAGAGCCTTTATTCAAAGCTGATCTGAAAATACCTTTAAATGGCCAAGCGTCATTGATCAACAGCTTCCTACAGAGGCAATGAAAGAGATGATGCACTGGGAGAGAAAAGGAAAAGAGCCAGTATCTGTTAGAAAACATAAAACTCCTGGTATTTTGAGAAAATAATTCAGCGCCACAACAATCAGTGCAGAACAGGCTCGTTTCCGTCTTTGGACTTCAGGTTGTAATGCAATTGCCCCCAGTGCACTTGGGTTCAGTGTTTGCTGTTTCCTTATCTTGGGCTGAAGAAAGGTACACTATGTTCTTGCAGTGGGTGACACAGAGTAGCTTCAGCGTGAGCTTCTGCAGAGTATTGTGAACCATGGAGTTGAGGGGATCCTGGAGTCAAATCTGTGTAACAGGAATGTCCAACTGGGGCATGCAGGGCAAACTCTTTATTTATTTATTTATTTATTTATTTATTTATTTATTTATTATTTATGTTTGAAATGAAATCTTGCTCTGTCGCCCAGACTGGAGTGCAGTGGCGTAATCTTGGCTCACTGCAACCTCCGTCTCCTGGGTTGAAGTGATTCTCCTGCCTCAGCTTCCTGAGTAGCTGGGACTACAGGTGTACACTACCACATCCAGCTAATTTTTCTATTTTTAGTAGAGACAGGATTTCACCATGTTGGCCAGGCTGGTCTCCAACTCCTGACTTCAGGTGACCCACCTGCCTCGGTCTCCCAAAGTGCTGGGATTACAGTTGTGAGCCACCATGCCCACCCTGTTCTCTGCCATATTAACAATACTGAAATGGTTCTACCATTTAAAGGGCCTTGTTCCAAGATACCAATTTTGGTTTTCCTGGGACTGAAATCTCTCCCTCTCCCCCTGCCCTTTTTCACCTTACTGAACCCAAATCAGAAGGGCCCCTGGGCATCCTATGGTGCTGTCTTAGCCCACAAATTAAATATGTTTGAAATTTGCAGACCACCCTCAGATCTCAATGACTGCGCCTCCTTCCTTCAATTTGGGTCTCACTCAATGTCACCTTTCCCATCTTGCTGCAGGTTTTTCCCACTCGGCTTTCACATTTGGGATCGAGAGCCACATCAGCCAGTCCAACATTAATGGGACGCTAGTGCCACCAGCTGCCCTCATCTCCATTCTGCAGAAGGGACTGCAGTATGTGGAGGCTGAGATCAGCATCAACAAGGTATGTAGCTGCTAGGCCTGGCCCCCGAACAGCGGAGCCTTGGGAAGGTGCAAGAGCTTGGAACACACTGGAAGCTAACATATATTTCCCTCTGGCATTTGGGATTAATTCAGTGGCAGGGTGCACTGGCTCATGCTTATAATCCCAGGATTTTGGGAGGCTGAGGCAGAAGGATCACTTGAGCCAGGAGTCTGAGACCAGCTGGACAACCTGGCAGAAAACACTGTTTCTACAAAAAAATGTAAAGATTTGCTGGGTGTGCTGGTACACACCTGTTGTCCCAGCTCCTGAGGATGATACTGTCTAAGTCCACAAGGTCGAGGCTGCAGTGAGCCGTGATCACCTGAGGGCACTCCAGCCTGGGCAACACTGTGAGACTGCATATCTGAAAGAAAGAAAGAAAGAGAGAGAGAGAGAGAGAGGGAGAGAGGGAGGGAGGGAGGGAGGGAAGGAGGGAAGGAAGGAGGGAAGGAAGGAAGGAAGGAAGGGAAGGAAAGAAGACCGCATATCTAAAAGAAAGAAAGAGAGAGAGAGAGAGAGAGAAAGAAAGAACACTGGTTTCCCACCCCACTTTAACATCTTACTGATTGGTTGTGTGTATACACAGTAGCAAGTTTCCAGTGCCCCTCCGACATGGGTCTGTATATTTTACTTAAACGCAGACTCACTGGCTGCTGACTCATGTTAACAATTACACTGCCACAGTTGAAAAAGATGCAGCAGACCTTCAACTGCTCTGGGCTTCGGAGTGGACTTTTGCCTTGCACACACTATGACTTGTTCTGTCTTCTTGATTTCTTGGAGTAGGTTGAAACTATGTTTCCTGAGAACCTGACAGGGCATCACCAGAGGCTGCATCAGGGCAGAGAGGTGATAGCTTTTGTGTTAAAGAGAATCTCAAGGGATGTTTTCATTATCAGCATAGTTGTAGAGCTGATGGGGTGGGAGGATGGAATCATAAATACACATTAAAATTATGCACTTGGCTGGTATCCCATCCCACTTTTTAGATTGTACCACAATAAGGTGTTGTGCCAGTTTTATACCAATTTTGGTTTTAAACAACACCCCTTTCCCTCTCTTGCCCCATTCTGCTGTGGTCTCGGGAATCTATAGTGAAGATCTTCTCAACTTCTGGGAACTTCTGGAATCCACAACCTTTCTTGCCACCTTCACCTGTTTCTATTTTGTTTTTAAATTAAATTAATTTTTTTTTGAAGCAGGGTCTTCCTCTGCAACCAGGCTTGAGTGCAGAGGCACTATCAGAATTCACTGCAGTCTCAACTTCCAAAGCTCAAATGATCCTCCTTCCTCAGCCTCCAGAGTGCTGGGGCCACAAGCATGCGCCACTGTGCCTGCAGTCCCTGTTGTTGATTCCTCAGTCTCCAGCTCCCTCTTTCTGTTCCTGTTTCTCCTACTCTGACCAAAGTACATGATTCTGCCCAACTTCTCCGTTTTCTACCTGGTAGTTGGATTTTTCCAGGATTCCCTCTATCCTGTCTTCCTAGGAACCGGTCTCACCCTTAAAAACCTTTCTTCTTTGCAGCATGTTATGTTGCTTTCTTTTCATGGTTTAAAAACCTCTTCTAGCAAATCACAAAGTAATATATCCTGTTCTCTTTTCTCCTTTTTTTGGGGGGGGGGTGTGTGTGGGGTGGACAGGGTCTCACTCTTTTACCCAAGCTGGAGTGCAGTGGCACAATCATAGCTCACCGCAGTCTCCACCTCCTGGGCTCACATGATCCTCCTGCCTCCGCCTCTCAACTAGCTGTGAGTACAGGTGCATGCCAGCACACCCAACTGATTTTTGTATTTTGTATGGTGATGGTGTTTTGCCATGTTGCCCATGCTGGTCTGAAATTGCTGGGTTCAACTGATCCTCCAACTTCTGCTTCCCAAAGTGCTGGGACTACCAATGTGAGCCCCTGTACCTGCCTCATTTTTTCTTGTATTTTTGCCCACCATTTTGCACAAAGCCATAGCTGTAAAAACTCTGGTGTCTGTGCCTCTCTCATGCTCTTTCTTCCCTGGCAACCGTCCATCTTTTTCCCTTCTTCATTTTGGACCCCTGGGGTCTTCAGGTTGCCCTGTCCAGCACCATGCAGTGTCGTTATCCTAGTGTTACCAGCGGAGGGTGTCCAGGTTCTTGGTGTCTTGAACAAATAATTAGACAAAACACACAAACAATCAAGGATAGAATAAAGGGATTTATTGAAAATGAAAGTACATTCCACAGCAGGGGAGCCCAAGCCCAAGCATTCGGGCTCAAGGATCCCATTACAGAATTTTTCAGAGTTTAAATACTCTCTAGAGGATACCATTGGTTCCTTGGTGTACACTGTATGTAAATGGAGAGGATGAAGTAAAGTTACAAAGTCGCTTACTCGGCATACGCTTTATGGAGAGGATATTTCCTGTCATAACTGATGTGCAAATCGACCTTATGTTCCCTGCCTCATTCCCCACTAAGAGATGTGATCCTCATAAATATTTATGGGAGGCAGAGGGACCAATGGTCTTTTTTCTGTAACTGCTTCATGCTGGCTTGGGGCATAGTCCCTACCTATTGGGGATCATGGAACTCTCCACCCTGCCGTATCTAGTGGAGGCAGGATAGCTCCTTGATGGCCAGGGTTGGTGTCTTCACCTGGAAGTGACGGGAGCAGTTGTTGCATGATTATCTGAAGCTTGATGGTCTCCAGGAGAGAGGAAATGCATTTGGTTAAAAGATTGAATGGGAACTTCAGCAGGTGGATACTTACACTGTCAGGAATGTTATAGAGATTTGCAGGAGGAAAGCAAAACCTGGCTTGTGGTGTGTTCTAGGATCTGCGTTTCCTTAAAGTCTTAGCATAAATGACTGCATTTTGCTTTGGTTTTGTCTGTTGGGGTTTATTGCATGAGCTTAGTCCAAAACAATGATCTCCCAGAATTTTGTTTTAAAATTTGCCTTTTTTGATCAGGTTCTCACTTAGGTAAGAGTGTGACCAAAACGTAGGACCTTACTTCTACTCTGAGTTACAGTCATTTTGGGTTACTGGTCTCAGCATGTCATTCATAGGTTACACTTTCCTCAGGGTCGCACATTACTTTCAGCTCTTGTCATTCCACTTGAAAAGTGACCATTTGATGTTCTAGAGATGGCTGCAGGAAAGCATTTAAAACCCTCGAGAGAGTATAGCACACTAGGGAGACTATTATTATGATTATTGGGAGGATAATACCAAGAGTTTGGAGTATGTTCTTTACATAAAGTCCCCATAAGCCAAACCTTCTAAAATCACATAGATCAAAGAATGAGTTAAATAGTCAGTTCATTTTCTAAGCAGTCCGTTCATCATTCACCTACCCCTGAATCTCTGTAATATTTATTTGATGTATTTCTCCATAGGCCTCAAGTGTCAGCAGCTGTACAGGTACTTATCTGTTCAGCCAATTCTATTATTTAGCATAACTTTCACAAGAGAATTTAAAGTCTCTTGTATAACTGTGCCATAGAATGTGCCACAGAGCCTATTATAGGAACTAGATTTTTAGTCATTGCCTGTTTTACTTTAAACCACTGAAAAAGGACCTAACAAATGATTCCCTTCTAGAAGAGTGAAGGCCTCCTAGCAGTGTTCTCTTTAAGCCATGATGTGCATTAAGAGAAGTGAACCAGTGTTTTGTTTTTGACTGATTACTAGGCAACGTATGTATCATTGAAGTTTCTTACCTGCATTAGGCCTTTATCCTTTATCTATCAAAGAATAAACTTATCCATATATAAGGCTGGCTACAAACTCTTTCAAAAATAAATGTAAGTGCACATAAGAGACCCCTTTTCCACTCCTGTTGTTCACAGAGGTATAAGCAAAAGAAAATATTCAAAGATAAGAGTTTCTTGACAGTAGAAGTCTTAATCTGTGAACTTGGGAAAAGCTGTTCACATCAAGGATACCATCTTCTTCTTGTGACAAATTTCCCTGTTAGTTTTACCTTAAGAGTTCCAATGGGTGTACAGTTCCAGAGCATGGAGGGACCCTTCTCAGTTGTAAGACCATAAGCCCAAAGCCCCAGGTTCCTAACACAACAGTGTAGAAGTGTTCTTTAAGTGTACTTTAAGTTCTAGGGTGTTCTTTAAGTGTACTTTTAGTTTTGCATGTGCAAAACGTACATTGTAGTGTGGATGGCAAAAACAGTCTTTCTTTGATGGTCTCAGAAGATCCAAACCATAAAAAGCTTTCTTTACCTGCTGAAAATACACTGTAGCATAATAATTTGCTGTTGTAACATCAGCCCAATTGCATGGGAAAACTTTTATTCAACCAGAACATGCACTGAAAATAATAATTGAATGAAATCCCTTTATAAAATGGCCCACAAGCTGACCAAATGTACCTGAAGAATTTGTAAGTTACCACACCAATGTATTCAATTTGGGTTATTTTATCTTTTCCATGCTGAGTCATGGCATGCAGAACTTTTAGTAATAAGAACTTTAAGGACTCAGGAAGGACAAGGTGGCCATCCTCTTGGTTCTTCATGAGTCCATGCCTAATTAACATTAGATGTGTCCTCTTGAATACCAGTTGTTTTTCCAAATTAGGTGCATAGCACTGATTTATGATAACCTGGGTTATCATAGGTAATGCAACTGAGACTGTGGCATTTATTCAAATTGTGTATTTAAAAAATTTCAGTATCAGCTGCTTTAACATGAAAATCTGACGAAGTATTTTCCTGATATTTGATTAATTTTTTTATTTTTTTAATTTTTTGAAACAGAGTCTTGCTCTGTCACCCAGGCTGGAGTGCAGTGGCACGCTCTCAGCTCACTGCAAGCTCCGCCTCCCGAGTTCACGTCATTCTCCTGCCTCAGCCTCCTGAGTAGCAGGGACTACAGGTGTCCACCACCACACCTGGCTAGTTTTTTGTGTTTTTAGTAGAGTCGAGGTTTCACCATGTTAGCCAGGATGGTTTTGACCTCCTGACCTCATGATCTGCCTGTCTCAGCCTCC